AATGTAAATTCTTTAGAATTCCTAATTTTTTTTAAAAAAAATAATACATTATTAATTGTATTTATTTGGTAGATATTTTGTTATACCAATTTGTGCAATAATTTATGAACATTGAACAGTGTTTACTATTTAATTTAAATATACCATTATTTTCTTATTTTGAGTTGGTTATCCAACACAAAACATAAAATTGACTTTAGTAATTCAAAAAAAGGAGAAAGACGAAAGTGTTAACTGTTCTGGTGTACAGTAGGTGTATGATGTATCACATATTATGTTAAACTGAAATGTACATATTTGGTATCTGTATAAAATATAACTTTTGAAGAGGATGTCAGCTCACTATTTGTTTTCCCTCTGTGACCCACGTGAAACATAGCCAAATGCATTTACGCAAAATCATTTTAATTAATTTTAGAGTAAAATCACCGTTCACAAGAAAGATGGAGAATAATTTTTTTTAGGGAATGTCACATTGATTTGTATAAATATTGACTCATAAAAATTTAAACATTATTTAAATGAACAAATTGTTTTTGTTTAATTTGAAAGCCAAATTTCAATAAAATATAGGTCAGTCATTCCCTCATAAAAGTATTCTCTATCTTTTTTGTAATTTGTAACTTTACAATAAGATTACCTACTTAAAAACATAGAAAAAATGATTCTGCATTAATGTGTTTTGTCTATGCTGCACGTGGGCCAGAGAGAGAAAACAAATAGTGTGCTGACATCCTCTTAAATTTTAAATAAGTATGAACTACGTACGTAGTTATTATTAAAATCAAGAAAACTGTATCGTATTTATTTTCATCAATCCAAAATTAACTGGAAAAGAAACTAGAACTTTTATCTGATGTTGAAGACAATGAACTTCAAATTTATCAACAGATATTGAAATTCATATTTTAACGTCTGTTGTTAAAACAAATTATAGTGTAGACTGTAGAGCATATTACTGAAGTACTGTAATTTGTGGGTGAATAGAAACATTTTAGCTGTTACATCTCTGAATCTAATATATGCACAACGCTTCCGAGTACACTAACATTTGGGTCTTACCTAGTACAATAGGATAACAATTTTTATGATTACCTAAGTACAAAACTTATTTATATAAAACATTTTAAGTGCAATGTTTCTATTCACCTGCCGGTGTAGGTGAATAGAAATTTCCATTTATTTATTCAAAGAATTTGTTATTCAACTCCAGGGCTGTAGCAAGAACGAGTATGGCTATGCCCACTTAAAATATATTCTTTCACAAATATCAGTTTTTTTTCACAATAGTATGAAATAATAATTCTGTCACTTTTTGTTATTTGAAATAAAACCAATTTAAAGAAAAATATTTGGCAATATAATATGATCTAATGCTGAAAGCTATTTCAACTATTGTTCTAGTGTACTCTTAAAATTATGATTTTATTGTTATTACCATAAAGATTTTTGACTGCTGATTTTTACGAATTACCATCAAACATATAACCACAGAAGTATAATATTTAAGTAAAATATTAAAATAAAAAGTAATAACATTATTGGTAATTAAAGTACAAGTCTTATAAATTATACCATAGTTCAATAGTTGAATAATAGTAAGTAGCCGAAGTTGAACTAAACATGTAAAACGTAGGTGAATAAAAAAATCCGTATGATTTTTTTTTAGTATTTTTAAATTATTGTCGATGCATAATTTTTAACTTTAAAGAAAATTTTGAAGTTTAATACGAGATTTAAACAAATACAATAGTTCATCATCAATAAAATCGTAACATACCTTCACACACCTGTGAGAGCGTAAATATTTGTGGGCTTGTGGGCTATGTTATTTACTCAAGAATTATATTTTTCTTAAATAAATTAAAATTTGGATTAATAACATATAATATAATATAACACGGTTATTCAATATTGGTATTGGTATTGGAAGTTTTAATTTTTCAAATTTTATAAATTTTATTAAAATATTTAAAACCGATGTTTTTCATTTAAAATACCTCAATTTGTACCAAAATTTGTCAAAATTTGAACTTTAAATGTCTATAAAATACTAACGTGCATACCTATGTATTTAAAATATTTTTGAACTGCTATTTTATAAATGGATCAAATAGAGTCAAAATATTTTGAAAATCTAATTAAGTATAGAAAACGATAAAAAAAATATTTGCTGAACATTAATTAAAGAATATTATTTTTATTTCTGAACAACAATAAAATAAGAAAATCATTTTATGAGGAACATTAAGTTTACAGATCAATGTCGAGAAAAAATATTTGTTTGACATTTCAGTGTTTATAATATAATATAGCTTAAAAAGAGTCGACATTTTATCTTGGATTGAAAATGGTTATAAAAATATCTATGGTTATCTATTTGTTTTTGAGTAAGGTACTACAAAAATCAAAATAGATTTTGTGTAAAAATGTCCGCTTTATCTTACTATTTTTGATTCTTTTATTCCAAGTTCCAATGCTTTCGAAGATAACTGGGAATTTTCAATTTTGGATTCTCAAAAGTTTTTTGATCTAATTTTCTACCAGAAACAACGCTCAAAGTGATATTGAAAATTATATTACTTTTTGACAATTGTCCGTGTATAGCTACACACAAACAAAAACACATATTTTTAAAATCAATAAATTCAGCGCACCACTAGATCTAAAATCTACCTAGGTATTATTTTAAATCACGGATTTGTTGTCAACAATACACATGGATACTTAAGTGACCAGCAGTACAACGACAATCAGCTGCTGAACTCATACAGGTTTCACGGGTTCAAGAACGTGAGAGAGAAACCGAAAAGCTTGCTGAGAAAAAATGCGGCTGTCGTCGCATTAGCGGCTGCTAATGTAATAATAATAATAATGGTCAGATCATTGACCAAATTACATTTTAAATGTGTAGATAGGTACATTATTGGGTACATAATTATTGATGGGGAAATCGGTAAACATACTCCACATAGATGATACGTTAAAATATGCGGTTTAAGGTTTTATTAGGTACACATGAATTACTAATTAAACGATATTTAACACAGAATTCGTTGCAGTGGAGAAATACCTAGCTTAAGGGTTATAGATTTGATTACTAAACTCAACTCAAATCGTAGGCAGGTCTAGGCCAGTGGTTCTTAACCGGCGTGCCGCGAAAAATGTCTAATATTTTGCTGATTAGGTATGCTGGTAAAAAAAATAATATTGAAAACAGTATTTTATTTCAAAACATTTATTTTTTAAAAATGCAGCGAAATAACATTTTGAGAACTAAATGTTTGAAGCAAAGGGAATATTATATCATAAAGAGAATATATTTTAAATTATTAGTGAGAAACTTGAGCTTGTCGTTTCAGAGACAAAAGTTCGATACATAGTCTAATTGAAGACAAGCACACACGTATTTCCTGATCAATGGAAAAGCACTCCCGGTTTTTTGTTTTTTATATTTTTTAATGTCGAAAAGCCCAACTCGCATAAGTAGATGGTTGAAAAATGTAACAAAATGTTGATTACTTCTGCTATTATATGATAATCTGTGTTTGCATACATCCTAAATCTAATTAGTGGTAATTCATTAGTGTTTCATTTTAGTGTTCTATCCTCCTGAATTTCTGCAAGCTATTCTTTCTCGCATGGTTGTCAAAGTTGTTGATGTTGTCAATTGCGTAAGTGTGTCGCGAATACTTGTGAAGTATAATATGTAGCCATGTAGGTATAATAAGTATAGTATCAAAAAAGGTTGAGAGCTACTGCCTACTGGTTTAGGCATTAAGATAATATATAATTATAATTATTAAAGTTACGGTAGACACTTCGACACCGGATGGCGTTTAAAACTCCGATATAATTACGGCGGCCAATTGATTAGCACAGTGGCTTGGAATTAATACATTTTTCTCATTATTTTTTCACGTTACTTTTCATATAAATATTACATAGGTACATGTTTATGTGTATCGTATTGGTTAATATTACATTATATGGCTTCGTATAATATATTATGTACCTACATGTTATTTAAATTCTTAGAAATTATAATTGCACATTTTTCTAATTGTTCATGATTTTGTTATATACCGGAATTATTGTCAAATATCATAAAAAATTACATATATTTGTTTGTGTGTATATAGTTTGTATTTTTCGTAAATTAATTCGTTATTGTCTTATAATAGTGACCTGGAAGGGTACATTCATATTTCATTTATATCCATAATAATTCTGTTTTTGGAAAATAGACCAGATAGCTAGATCAGATGACTAATAAATAAATAAATTATAATAAATAATTTATATTATAGTTCAGGGGTACGGGTCCCCAACCTTTTCAAACAAGTGAGCTACATTTGAAATTTTTAGTCCCAGGTGATCGACATCTAGGAGAATTTAGGTCTTTAGGAAGAGATTTATTTTATGAGCAAAAAAAAAGGTCTAAGCTAAAAAGAATAAATATTTATTGTTTCTTCATGGTGATAATAATAATGTAATATTTTAATAATACACGATAAAAAGTAAAAAAAAAATTATAAATAAGATATTGTTATTTAAATAATGTGATTTTATAAATTTATTTATGTGATAACTGGCATTAGTTTTCTGCAAGTTTTGAGAATTCTGGTATATAATTAGAAATAACTGCTCGTAAACTTGAATCCAAATTACTGTCTGTAATTCTTGACCGATATTTGTTCTTTAAATATTTCATATTCAAAAATGTTGACTCGCATAACCAAGTTGAACCAAAAAATGAAGGTATACGAAGGGCAATGCTTCGTAGATTTGGGTATTTTTGAGTACTTGCGTGTTTCCACAACTCTGAGGTAATCTCATTGAATCATTTTTTGACGTTATTATTTCCATTTCCAAAACTGTTTTATCAAGATTAAATAAATTTAGAAATTTTATTCGCTTGTGTCTCAACATTCCCAGAAAATGGATTTGATATAAACTGCGCAACTGGCACAAGTATTTTAAAGTCTTTGAATCTTCTTTTAAATTCGGAATGTAAATGTTGAATTATACCTACTCGTATTTATATGGTTTGTAGGCTTATTAATATTTTCAGAATAATTAATTATTGTTTCTTGAAGAGTAGATAAATGCTGGAAATCACCATTTTTCATTTTATTTTCCCAATATGCTATTTTACTAGAAAACGCTTGAACATCCGATATCATATTAATAATTTCTTTTTCTTTTCTTTGTAACTCTAAATTTAGGAAATTAATTTTTTCAGTAATATCAACTAAAAATGCAAAATCTTCAAGCCATTTTATATTTTCTAATTCTTCATAAACAATATCAATTTCTTGTACAAAAGTTTTAATTTGTGGTAATAATTCTTTAAAACGATGTAGTATTTTACCTTTACTTAACCAACGAACGTTAGAATGTAATAGTAAATCTCCATAATGACAATCTACTTCGTCCATCAGCTCATTGTAGCCAATTGCCCCTTAGTCACCGAGGCATTTGTTTTCAAATAAAAGAAAAAAAAATTCTGACTATTACGATTGACCGATAATGGTAAATTCCTAGAATACAATATAGCAATCCACATTATCCGATTATTTATTAATCGATCGACTGATAATGGTAAAATTAATTTTTGATATCGATCGACCTATATTAATAGAATGATCGAAAAGTCGATCGCGGTCGACTAGTTGGCGACCCCTGTTATAGTTATCATGTTAAATTATAAACTTACACGAAACTTGAATTTGTTTACAGTGCTCTTGCTAGATATAAAACTAAAAAAAATGAAAGTGTCACGTTTCCACCATGGTTTATGAATCGTAACCTCCATGAACAGTATCAGTGAACTTGTTTGATCGATTTTGATTATCAAAGTATCAACAGTTGTCACCTGTCGGTAAATTTCATTACGTGTTAACACAACGAGGAAACAAGTTGGTCTCAATTTTAAATTGAATGCTTTTTAAACAACAACGTTATGGGTAACGTACAAGCTTCATCCAATTTACCACAGATGCCGCCTAAGTTGACACCAATTAAACCCAGGACACCGCAAAAGCTGAATTCCGAAAATCGCATTAAAAACCCCGGATCGGTTGATGAATTGCATAAGAAATGTAAAGGTTCGTTTTTTGTCATTTATAGTGTATTTTTCTTAGTAGTTATTTAATTATTGATCTATTTTCGTTGCAGAATTGTTTCCTATGACCTTTGATGGCATCCAATTTGTCATAAAGAGAGGACTGAGCAATCATTTTTTCGATAGCCACAGTCTACTCATAGGAGCAACCAGTAACATATCAGTCAATTTCGGATCTATATTTGGAGGTACCAAGCAGGTTGGGTCTGGAAATTTCAATCCTCTTTTGATAGATGACTTTGATCACCGTGGAAATATTTTAACAAATGTTATTGTACAACCCTGGAATAATTTAAAAATAAAACTTAACACTCGGGTAATTAATTATCTAATTATAATCCATTGTTTTAAAATAATTATATTTATTTATGTAATGTTGATCACAATAGGTTCAAGATTTCAAAGGATATGGAGTTCAGACAACTGCTGAATATAAGACAGACAGGTATACGGCTACCCTGAGCATAATCAATCCTGGTTTATTCAATTATACGGGAATTTATATATCTCAGTATTTATATGCTTTGAATAACAAAGCATCAGTAGGTGCTGAAGTCATTCACCAAAGAAGTCCACAAATTCCAAATGGGCATATAACATTAGTTAAAGTCTTGGGAAGATACAAATGTGAATAATAAAAACAATTTCTTTTGATAAACTAAATTAGAATTATAAGTTTAAATCAAGAAATTCATCAACTAAAACTTTTTTTTTAGATGATGATGCTACCACAATCAGTACTACATTTAACTTAATGGGGTTGCAATTCTGCTATCATTTTAAAGCTAGTGAGCAGTTTCAGTTTGGTGTAGATCTTGATGGTGATGGTTATCAACGGGAAATGAATGTAACTTTTGTATATCAAGCACAAATTCTTAAACCATATATCAAAATTAAAGGTATAAAAAAAAAACAATTAATAATATAACATTTTTAACATAAATATTATGTTTTTTGGCTGGATGCAAACATAATTTGGGGGAACACTTTGCTTATCATCAAAGAAATTAATAAAATTCTTACTTTTTATAAATATATTATAATATACAGTTAATGGATACTTATTAATACATATTTATGATTCATACATTTTTTTGAAATTGGATAATATTGAGTAGTTTATTTTCTACTGTACTTATTCAAATTTTTTTAATTATTAGTTTGTGTATTGTTTTTGTGTGTCAGATAAGATATTTTTATAAGACTATGTTATTATTGATAACGTTCCCATGGTCAAAATATGTTTAATTTCTTGTTTCTTGTCCATTTTTTTACAACAGTCTTTGATTTTTTTTTGCATTTAAGTGAAATTATACATACAACTAAGTAAAATCCTATTTATCAGAAAACTTACTTTTGACATATTGTCTTTCTTGTTTAATACTGAATATATGTGCTTGATTTTGTTTAAATAAACATTGTTTCATTTTCAGTTACATTTCGGGGGTATACAAAGACATAATACTAGCAGCATGAGTTTCAATTATGTTGTTTTTACTCAGATTTTAAATGTATTCACTTTATTAACCAACATAAGCTGAATGCCAATAAAATATTTTAATGTTGATGTATATCCAAAAGAATAGTCAAAAATATTATATTTAAATGCCGATAAATGATAGACAGGTTGGCATTTTAACATCAGCTCCATGTGGAGAAATGCTTACTGCAGTAATATGTTTAAACTTTGTATAAATGCAAAATCATGAAAAACTCATACCCCATTGTACCCCAGTGTGGGTGTTGAATGGAGCAAATTATTATTTTTGGTTTTTTTGATAGTAAATTAAAAAAGCTGAGTTATTTATTTGATTTAGGGAAAGTAAAGCTACACAGTCACTTTCATGTGGCAGTTCAATAAAGGGGAAAACTGAATAATTTTATCAATAAAAGGAATTGTTATTTATATTTTCCATCATTGATATTCATGTAAATTTTGAAGCTCTACATTAAATAGAATCTGTACAATTGGGTTTGAACATTTAGTTCCCCATTCTACCTCCTGGGTTCTCCTTCATAATATGTTAATATTTTTAAATATTTTAAAAGAGATAAAACAATAAAACATTTATGTATACATTAAATATAAATATAAAAAAATATCCTATTAACAGGTATTTATTGAAATAATGTATCTAATCTATATGACCTTTGCTATGGGCTAAGATATTATCTATAAATGATTCAGCAAATGTCAAATTTAACTATATATGGACAGAATATTTTAGTGATTTTTATTTGCATAACTTAAAAAGCTAAGCTACATTTAACTTAATAATTAAATTTTTACTTTAGTGTTTTTTTTTATAACAAATAATTAGCCACAACCTAATTAAATAACACTTTAATCCATAACACTCTTTCTTTATTCAAAATGTTTATAAAGTAGTGTCTATTATTGTGATTGGAACTAGCTTTCTACTATTTTTGGATGCAGGTAGCGAAATGTATTATGCTTTCGGTATTGTAATTTGTAGGTAAACAGCTTTATGTTTGCAGTTGTTTTAAGCCATTTTAATCTATTCAGCAAAAGAATATGCCGATTCTGTGCATCCCCACTCGACACCCTGCTATTGAGGCCGGTTTCACTATTGCAGGGTATCAAGTGGGATGTTCAGAAGAGCCAACTGTTGTTGGGCCAAGGCATATGGTCTCTGGACAGTTTATATTATGTTCTACTCTTGTTGATTATATTAAAAAAATAATAGTTAATAAGTAAGCTAAACCTTATGTATTTTTTATAAATTTTTATAGCTAACTTTATCAATTATTAAAAAACAAAACTAATAATGCTATTTTATATTAAGTTAAAATATACCTAATTTTATAAAAATGAAAATTATAATTAATATTTTGACAAAAATAAATAATATATTAAATGAAAATATAGGTGAGGTAATATTATGTTAATACCTTTATTATTATTATTATTATTATTGAATTAATTAGACAAATGTTATTTGCTATATTGGTATCATTAATAATTAACTTTATTTTTATTATAAACAATAAATTATAAAGTAAATATAATAATAATTAATCAACTTAGTATGCTAAATTGAAAATTGTATTAATTTTTTACTTTTTTTTTTTTTAGGTAGTATAGATGGAAAGTGGAATGTAATCACGTCACTGGAAAAACGTTTACACCCAATGCCGTTTACATTTACATTAAGTACTATGTTTTCTCCTGCCAAACATCAATTAAGAATGGGAGTTGGACTTTTAGTCCGTTAATTTATACAACATTAAATGGTGGACCTTTTTTTCATTCCCATTTGTTATATGATTTAATATATTGTATTATTATTATTGATTAAATTAAAGGATTAATTTATAACTCTGAAATATAGAATTATTCTAAAATGATATCTGCTAGATGTAAACAAAATTACAACTTTTTCATGCCATTTATGCATTTGTCAGAAGTTAACGAACCACAAATAAAAACAAAATATGTTATATAAATACTAAATAGCATTTAAATATAATACCTATATCTAAACTACTGAGTAGATACTTATTTGAATATTTACTAATTGATGAGTTATGTAAGTAAACAGTAGAAAATACCGCTTAGATCCACACTCCGTGAGTATTCTAAACACTTTAAATTTCCAGACTTATTTAAGATGGAAAATTAAATTTTATATTTTTTCTAAGTTTGAAATTAAAATTAGGTAATAGTTCAACATATTTTTTTGTAAAATATTAAGTACTACTTATTTATGAATTAAGTTTTTTTGATTTTGTTGTTTTATTTAGATCCTTATTAGAATCTCAATAATATATTAAACTTATTATTTATCTAAATTTGGTGTATGCTACTTATTCAAATGCTATGAATATTCAATAGGGTTGATAGGTACACCTATAATTTATTTTATGTTATTGGATATTTTATCCATTAAAAGATGATCTAATGACAATGACAAGTGGAATGTTTATACCTACCTAAGTAATTATTTAAATAATTTTGAGTACCTACATGTATTTTAACATTATTTTAGAACTATATGTAGAGTACATATATTTTATGCTATTGTTATTATTTTTTTTTTTTTTTTTATTAGGGTTAGGGGAGAATGGTAGATACTGGCCAGTGGGTAATTTACCGGTCACCTTGTTATCCAATAATCTAGTGCATTTAAGATTATGTTGAAAATACAAAAATGTTAAGAATGATGACAAAAACTTATTCTTATAGCAACGATACTTACTCAAAAGACTTTTTTACGTTCAAATAAGTGACATTAGTTTTTAGAGAAAATTTTCTAAAAAAAAATGTCTTTTGCAATCTCAATTAATGTAAAAATATTTAGAACCTATTTCTACTTTATAAGATGTACATATAAACAGAATATGGAGATTATATTATGATAATGCATTCAAATCATGTAATAGTATTATGGTTTATCAATGAAAAAATATTTTATAATTATTTGTCAAAAGGGAATACCCAGTCAGTATATTTAATAAAATGTTTCCAAAATATAGTAAGTACACATCCTGGCTTAAAAATGTGTTGCAAATTTTTTTTCGGTGTTGCAAATTGTTGCAATTAAATTGCAAAAAGATGGTACTAGTTTGGTTCTCTTGGTCGTATACGTTTCGCTTTCGGTTTTGGCGTCCTCTTAATGTTCTATATTTTCCGCTTAATTTTTGAAATTTAAAATATTGTTTCATGACGTGTATTATAGACGTACCTAATGTATTAGGTAGGTACATGTTAAGTGAAAAGGGAAAAATTCTCTTAGTCCATAATAATTATACATTTTATAAGAAACACACAGTTACAACAAATATAATATGTGCGTGGATTTGTGTAAACAATAAGTGCCATGAGCAATTAATTGTATGTCATAAACGTTAGTGGGCTACTGGGCTGTCTATCACCAAACATATAGGTATGTATATAAATATAATATGTATGGTTTACAGTTATTGCATTTGTGTGCATTGAAATAATTTCAAAAACGTCACATAGATTTGTATAAGCAATTAGATTGATACACAATTTCAAAATTAAAGTTATAAGTTACCTACTTATAAGTATAAAGTATATAAACTAAAAAAAAAAAAAAGGTCACACGTTTAATATTATGACGTTTAGTGTATACATTTTAGTTACTATGCTAAAAATTAACCATACATATGTATCGATGATTATTCTTTATTTACTTAGAATGACTTCATATGTGTAAATGTATGTATTTATCTTTTTTGTAGGTATCAAATAAATAAAAATATATTCAAAATGCAATTAATCAATCGTGATTCGTGATGTTATTGTGTATTAATAAATAATATGATATCAAATGACAACTTTTATGTAGGTAGGTACACAATGCTATGAATACTCGTACTAACACTTTTTTATAATATTATAATATTACAATTTGCAAGATAAATTACACTTTTTCAACTGTCTACAGTCTACACCAAAAGTTTCAAATGTAATATTTTATCACCAAACTCTTTAATAATAGGTACCTACGTAAATTGTGGTAAAACTTAATCCATTAATATTTATAGCTTATCTAAATAAATTTGAAATATCGAATAAAAACCTGTTCAAACATTTTAAAGTGAACGCTATATAAACATTATAAACACATTAAAATTGTTATCGTTATATTATTTTAACATTGTATTAAAATATAATACCTACTGATTTAATATACATACATGATAGCATCATGTTGATACTTGATACTATGTATACATAATACCTACACGATCTTGTGATCCAAAAATATGATATATCTATTGTTTGGAATCCATGAAATGTATATTAACGAATAATAATACAACTAGGGTTTATTTGTTTGTTAGAAAATTGATTTCATTTTTAAATTTGATCATTAAAAAATAATTAATAAACACTTCTAGGGGTGAGATTAATTTAAAATATTTGAGCCGTTTTTTTTTTATAGATTTATTATACTTTTACTATAATAAACAATATGTACTTTTCATTGTTATACCCATTCTAAAATATTGAGTTTCTTGGTTGCTTTTTTTAAAAGAAATATCAAGAACAAATTCCTAAAATTTCTCTGCTCAAATAATTTATTTTCATATTAGGTTATTAAAAACTATAACAGTGTTTTTAAAATGTAACAACACCAACCTCCCTTAACAGAAGCATACCAAGACATGAAAATAATTTCTTCATAATATTATAATAGTATAATGGATTTAGTTCTAAGAAAAATTGTATGCAATAAAAGTATACGAAGTAAGAACTAACTAAAAAATAAAGAAAAAAGTTACGCTATTTTTATAAGCAACAAAATGTTTCTCTACCTGTATATAAACTTGGTACATAAAAAATGACGAAATTGTTCTTTATCGTGTTATTTGAGCTTTAAGTTGAGCTCTGGTTATTTAAATGTATTTGAGATCCTTATCTTTATATACCAATTAATGTAATTATTTCAACAGGGTCCAACAATACTCTCCTTGGACACAGGTACTAGCGGTAGTCGGTAGATACGTGTCTTATATTTGACTGTTCATTCCCTGATTGCGTACACAACACACATCGATTAAATCGGTTTCAGGCGTTAACTTTCGTTTCCAACGGCCGGCCGCGGCCAAAAAAATAAAACAAAGGCAGTAAACCTGCATCGATTTTCTTCAACAGTATCTTTTTCGATGGAAAAGTGAATCTAGTTGTTGCATTCGGGAGGTCAAAATTTAAAATTCCCAATAGTATTCAAAAGCACAGAGAAAAACAAAATAAAATTGAGGAATCATTCAAATTTTTACGCCATATCGGTTTTCGAATAAATCAATTTTAGTTCTTAGTGTTACTCTAAAATGAACAGATTTAAAAATTTTTTTTGCTGTTTGTGGAAATGTACAGTTTCCAATTTTTTTTAGTTTTTTGTTGTCATTATAATTTTATTCGTTGGGTCAAAAAGCTTGGAAATGTAATACAAGGCTCCTATAATATATTATTTCAATAGCACTTGAAAAACATTAAAAATACATAAGCACAATTTTTTTTTAAAGTTCGTTTTCCGACAACATTTATCAAATTTAAATTTAAAAACGATTTTGTAGTTACAAACTTATAAAATGATCAACTTTATAACTAAGGATTGAAAATTTAAAACAAGCTTCCACGTAAGTATGTTATTCTGTAATCAAAGAATATAAAAATATAAAAACACAATATTTTTTTAGTTATTTATAATGTTAAAATTTGGACGAAAGTTCATATTAAGTTACCAAGAATAAAGGTTTTTTGTTATTTTGTTGTAATTTAAAAATATTGTTTGTAGGTACTAAACATTTCTCATGTATATTATTATACACAATTAATATAATAATATTTATTTTATTTATTTATTTTATTTATTTATTTTAAATATAAACGGACTTAAGTCCTTAACAATATTTTGTGTGTATACACGGTAATAATAACACAATGATAATAGTAATGACAAATAATAATATAAGCTACATAATACAGTTAAATAAGTTACAAATATATACAAGAGAATGAAAAAGTTAAATAACAACAAAGAAAGATATAAGTCGAGACATGCTAAACAAAATCAAACAAAATCAAAGGTAATGGAATTACCCGCAGCCATGAGGATGTTAGAAGGACAGTTTATCATATAATTTGTTTTATAAGGGACGGGATAGAATAAATCATTGCATCTTGTGTTACGGTGATTTACTTTAAAACGGATGAGGGAAAGGAGCTCATCACAATTGATATTCCCTAAAAGTAAATTGTGTAAAAATTTGGATAGTAATAAAGTGCGTCTAGTTTTAAGTGGAAGGAGATTTATAAATGATAAAACTGAATCATAGGAACCGTGAGGTGGCCTATAAATATTAAATTTGAAGGAGATGAAACGGAGGAAGTTATTTTGAACTGATTCGATCGCATCGATCTGTTTAGAAGTGTTATTAGTCCAAATTAATGGACAATATTCTAGGTTTGAGCGAACAAGGGCACAGAATAAAACTTTTAAAGATAGTGGATCACTGAATGATCCACAAGTTCTTTTGATAAAACCGAGGTTGCGCATTGCCTTATTTTTTATCATTTCAATATGGGCTGAAAAATTTAGTTTAGAGTCGAAAATGACACCTAGGTCTTTAAAGTTTGTTAATAATTCAATATCAGTCCCGGAAATATGATAATTATATGGAAATAATAATAACAATAATGCTACCATATCAATAATAACAATATATATATAATATAAAAT